AATGACTTTTTACAGATAATACCAATAAGCATCATGGTACACTAGAATTCAGATTATTTAGCTACCATGCAAAAGAGTTAAGGAAATTCCCAAGCCTAATTGGATGGATGTAATACCCTAACAGTCTTCACAGGTTACCCACCATCTTTTCCCAAAGTGACATCATTAATTTTCAAAAAGAATAGCAACAAGCATCTGGTTGGACAGAACTGTGAGATAGACCTGCTAAAAACCAAAAATCTCACTGCAATCAAGAAAGCAGCACTAACCCTCCAACTGGCGAGGAGTAACATCAAATTCTTGCCACCACACCTTCTCACCATCTGATGGAAGCTTCACTTTGAGAAATTTGGCTGCCAGGAAAATTGCACCTGCGGCAATGTGATGGGGCTTAAATTGCAGGCAGAGCGACGTCCTCAGCCTGCAACCCACTCTCCAGCTGTGAAGAAGGCGACGAAAGGAAGAGAGAACTATAAAAGATTGAAGAAAACAGCATCTACACATACCCATCATTAACAAAATTCCAGGCAACTTGAGCAAGAGCATTCTTTGCAACATTGAACTTCTTTATTGCTTCAACAAGGGGTTTATACGGATGATGAACATTGAGATCAAAACCCAAAGTGGCCAGTACAACCCTCTCCCCAAGTAAGATAAGCTCTTTCTGTTGCTCATATACTTCCTGCAGAATACATGAGATCAATTAACAACACGAGACATTAGCAAAGACCAACTGTCTTCACCTTGTGGTCACCTTCAGGCCTCCCCACAAGGGAGACTCGGGTTCAACTCCTCTGTGTGACACCCTGCTCTGCTACAAACTAAAGAATTTATAAAAGCAATAGTTCAAAACATAAAGGAGTCAAGGAAGGTAATGGTATAACTTACCAACAATAAAGTTCTTGGTTAGAGAAAATCAAGAAAAAGCATAACTTAATCAATTTCAAGGGACACAAAGAAAAAAAAGGTCTTGCAGTAATAACCAACAGATACAAATAAATTGCTGCAGTCTTAACTACTTTAGCATCATCATCCAACAGGTATCAAGACCAACAAACTGGAAAGGCTTTTGATATGTGGCTAGCCTCTCACTCTCGAGGTATTAGTAATAATAGTATTCATGCATCAATCCTCACTTAAGAGCCTAACAGGGATTAAAGCCATGTGAGAGTTTTTATGCTCATAGGAATAACAGAGATATGTCTAGATAGAGAGAGAGAAAGATACACAGAAACTTGCCATGAACTTTGATAATATACCCAAAAAAAACACTGGTAAATGACCGTTATATAAAGAATACCTTCTGTTTGATCCTTTGAGCTGCAACAGGATCTTTCTTATGTACTATCTCGTAAGATACGATAATTACATCCTTCAGTGGCCGAGGAGTCTCTTCAACCTTCCCAGCAAGGAACATACAAACAGTTGCAATTGTCTGGAAATTGGAAGAAAAAAATTAGGAAAAAGTACAGATCAACAGTCACCATAATTCAGCACTATTATTTTCTTCTTTGTGCACTCCTCTTTCTAGTTATGTAAGAATCATGAAAACCATCATATCTAAGCCAGTGATTCAAAATTTACGCTCACAGTTTCTATGACTTACACCTACAGCACTTAAGTCATCATTTTCAGGGGTTCCAAGGGCCCTCACTACAACAGGGAGCATGACCAAAACTCTTGTCAATACAGAATAAAATGCAATCATAGAAAGAACATTTTACTTAAATAAAGCATATCAATTTTCATTAGGAATTACATTCAAAAAGAAAAACAATCAACTAAGCAAACTCAAGTTTTAGGAACTCTAATTAAACAGTACTGATACTATATGTAAGGACACAAAACCAACACAGAAAAATGTTGTCTAATGAAGACAACCATTTCTCTTATCAAAGAAAATTGGGACACCCATTTCTAAAATTAAGTCATATAACACAATTGTTCACATCTTGAAAACTTCATTCTCAACCTGCATAACAAGAATAAAAGATTGGAGGAAAAGAAGCGTCAAGTAACTCAAGCTCGATAGCCTAAAGGTATCAAAGAAGATAAGACAACTAAGAGGAAGAAGACAAATAGCTCATTTCATGTCATGCAGTCAATTTCTTGAATTTACAAACAATGAGGATGAATAGTTGCAATATCCTAGTCAAGGAAAAATGGTTAAAAACCTCAAGTTATTCACTCTATCGACTTGCTCGACCTACTGGGTTTTAAGCTATTTAGTCAAGCATACATCTAGCCATGCTTTTTCTTCTCTATCCATGTTATTAAATTAAGAGTGCTTGATCGCGCCTGACAAAAGTTCCAGAATATTGATACACCTCATGGTCAAGTTTTCTCCAAGAAAGAATAACGAGACATGAAATTGAATAAAGTTCATTATTTCTGGCATTGACATACAATAATTTATTTCTAGATTATCATAGATCACGCTGTAATTTTCATATCAGAACAATCAGATATATCTACATTTTTTGGAAATTTTAGTTTTAGGTTTTAATTTCCTTTCACATTTTGTTTTATTGCTCAATGAATAGTTCCATCTCTTAAGGTATGTTACAAATTGACTTGAAGTAGAGAGTCTTCATTCTCTTTGACCACTTGTGCCCTGTGTTCTTCTATTTTTTTCCCCCATTGCCTCTATTCTATTCTTGTTCCCTTCCTTTATTATTGCCCTTTCTCTTATTTCATCCTTATATAAATTTTATAGGAATTATTTATTATTGTAGTGGTACCCAAAATATGTAAATGGTCCCTTGTAAAAAGAAATGAGATGTTAAGCAGCACTATTTGAAGGAAAAGGTCTATGGTTGACCTTTTTTCCTTACAAAAAAAGGATGAGTTTCTTTATTGATTGAATTCATTTAAAGAAGTACCATTTCATGGTTATATTACCTTATAAACAACCACAAAAACATTATCTACAAATTGCAAAATCACAAATAGAACCTACAAGAGAGTTGATCGAAAAATTAAAGAGAAAAGTATCACAATTATATCCCACTTGGTTCAATTCTATTTAATCATTACCTTGATTATTTACTTAATAACTTAATTGATCTTTCTATCTAGAATCTTAACAGCATTTTCACGGTTTAACCACTCCTACTCCCACCTTGAATTCTCTAAAACTTCATCTCAAAGAACATCAAGATGGGAGTAGAGGTAGTTCAAACATAAAAGTTATATTGCAATTGTAGGCTTCTTCCTCATTCCCCATGTCATTCACTTGTAAGAAGAGGAACAATAAAGCTTACGAAATTCTTCTTCCCCTTTTAATTCAATCTAGAATCATTGGCTTAGAATCATTCATATTTTGTTTAAGCACCACACTATGTATAATGAGGTTTTTATTGTTGATCCACTGATATTTCCTCCTTGAGAGGGAGGTAAATATTTAGTACATGGATGGACCCCCTTGGTGAGTTTTAATTTCATTCTCTTTTTTCCTCAACTCCAGCCACATTCTCACACTAAAGACTATAAAGAAGATTATATCATTCTAAGATATGCTATCAAAGAACTCTTCATAGAATTCGATAGCATCTAAACACTCATAACATACTTTACACATGCATTCCTCCCAATAAGCAAGATAAACTCATGAACAATAAATCAAAGATCGAGTTTCAGTAAAACAAAAGTAACATTCACTTCAACTGAGAGTATTAACTCACCCTTCTATCATTCCTGGCATGTGATTGCCGAATGAAAAACCGGTGACAAAATATTATCGCCGAGGCTATTGTTAACTGGGGTCTGCATTGGAAATTATTTCAGTCAATCGTTTTAAGACTAAAATGAAGCTTCTAATATAGTGCGCAAATAGTGTAGATGTGTATATATATTCATATAAAACTGCTTGAAATGAAAAAACTCCTACAAGTTTATCTGCACCTCTCTTGGTGCTATTCTACCACTTATTTCTAAAGAAACTGGATTATAACTCAGTTTATAAAAGCATTTCAAGATTGACCACAAAATATTCTACTAGCACCTCTGGCTCCAGCTTGAGATCATACCATTCCTTCAGTCAAGGTTCCCTCAATGTAATTACTATATGTGTGTCAGCACATAAACTCCTTTTTAGAGTAGTGAACAGTTTTCTTTTAATGGAGTCCGTATATTCTTTTTTCCTATCATCTGGGGGGCATGGAAAGAAGCCATATGCACCATTACGTTCTAGAAGCTTTACAAATCAAGAGACAACCTATATTCCCGGTGGCAGCAATTATAACGTCTATAATAGGTCAAAACTATCTGTCTCACTTTCAAATCAAACAAAGAGACAATGGATGCAATAGAGAACGTAAAGTAAAATTAAGTTTTTAGTCTACCAAGATGGATACTGCATTAAGCGACAAGGTCCTACTAAGAAATTGTAAGCAGAGCAAACTTTAGAAAAAACAACAGGAATAGCTTAGCCAAATTTTGCATATAGCCAAGAAGTAAAATTGGAGTTGATTTGTTGGATTGCTATAAACTTACACTTTGAGCCTCATGCCTAAGTCCTGCAAAAAGGTGCAGTATGACTTGCGAAAATATGTTTCCTTCTTCAAGTCAATGCCGTCCCTCCTGGAAGGCGAACTTTCTTCTATTTCTCTCCTTGTAAAATACCAGCGCGCAACCTCCTCTGGCTTCTCTAGAGAATTTCTAGAAAGGCCACTATCTGACCCCACGTGATGTGAGGATTCTCCGGGCAACAATCCAGCCATTTATCTTGTAAAACAAAACACTAAGATATGGCAAACCCAGATTCAACGCCTATACAAGGAACACGCCTTATTTACTTCATTACTGGGTTATATTATTACCCTGATCAAAATTCACAGTCGCAAAAGATCAAAAACAAGTAAAATAAAACAAACAACTTGACGAATTTTGATATGGCTTACAAATATGTAGTTGCACTAATTTTTCAAGGTCGAAACGACGGAAAATCTAGCTATCTATAATCATTCTTCAATTTATCCACAAACAGCAAGTAAATACTAAAATTTTCATAAGAAAACCTAGGGAGCGCAAGAAAACAACTTTTTAAGACGAAGCAAGCAGTCGAAGATTAAAAATACCAAAATCCTTGAATTAGGCAATAAAATTCATTCTCCATGCGGAAAATCACTGCCTTTTCAAAGCAGCAAACTCTGGTTGCATTCAAAATCGAGCAAAACCAAGATCTGAAACCTAACGTCTTGTAACATTCTAGGGCTTTATTTGATAGAAAGAGAAACGTTAAAGAAAGCGAGCAATGGCTCTTGGAAAAATTAAAGATAAGCGGAGATGTTAAAGAGAGCAAACCTAGCGATGGAAGCAGACCTTCGTTGCTAATGCTCGCCTCTTCTCCTCCTCAGTAGCGCTGTTTCCTTTCTCTATGTGTAGGCTTTTCTTTTTTGTTAATACAGGAAAAAAAAACAATAAGACACGAGTGCTATGAACCCTCAAGAAAAAGAACTCAGCTTCGGATATTTCTTTTTCTGGTTTTTATATATTTCCCTAACATTTCTTTTTTTTTTTTTAACAATTATCAACCCTATTTTTTTACTCTATTTTTTTATGTAAACCAATTGCAAAACTTAACAATTAATTAATTCATGATAATAATAGATTAAAATTTTTAAACTACTCTTTAGTACTTTGTTACAAAACTACTTTTTTATTATTTAGTACTCCGTAAATAAACAATTGTTAGGCTTTTTTCTAATAAATATATGTAATATATTTGAATTTAAAAATAAAAAATAGTTATTTTATAAAATGAGCATAAAATTTGATAACATCTCAATTTATTATGTTAAGATTAAATGTAAATATAACATATATGTCATGCATTAAACACTTGATGATGTAGCATCTCAACTTAGGAAAAAATAAATTATGTATTTATATGTGGTGTATATTATTGAATAATTTGTTACTAAATACACTTATAGCAACCTCAATTTATTAATTAAATTTTTAAATACATACATATGGTATTTACATTATAAATCATTCAGTTTAAAATTATAAATAAGATTTTTTAAAAAAATTTTTTTCTATAAGTCGAGTTGAATTATTTTTTAATAACATTAATTAGATATGTTATCTATGTTGTATTGTGCGTAAATTTTGCAGTTAATTATTATGCAATACCCACTCCTAAAATTTAGTCCGGAATTAATTTTAAAATTAAAAATATATATATATAAATATAATTTTAAAATTTGTGAAGTTTTATTTAATGTAAAATTAGGAAAAAAAAATAGGTGTAAAATGAAATTGAAAATAATTTTGAGAATAAATAGTAAAAATTTAGGTTCGGGGGGTATTTTTAAAAGAAAAATTAAAAATTAGGGGTCAAAACGTAATTAAAGAAAAATTTGTCATGTAGGACCGCCCAATCAACAACCGCAACAAACCAAAATGCGCAAGGTGGTAAGGCACGCTAACTCGGTGCAACACGGGAGGCCATACTGGCAATCTGTGTGCCCGCGATCGGATGACCCAGATGCGTTCCCACACGCATGAATTGTCTATATTCATTTCATCTTTAAACACGATCGGATGGTTGAGATCAAAAGCGATTAACTGTCCAGATTTACGGGAGACGGGTATAAATATCTTACATCACACAAAATCTAAACCCTAGCCGCCAGCCTCCCTCTGGAGAAAGGAGCCGACCGCTACTGCGTCGAAGCCACCTCTGACCGCCAAAAAGGTGAAAAAATTTCTGTCTGCTCGAAATTTAATTTCGAACACCCCCATGGCCAAATTGGAGCAAAAGGAACGGTAATAAGCCAGAAACCGCAGGTAAAGTCTAGCGGCGGCGCCACGGGAAAAACTAAAAATCAATTCGATGAGCTTATTCCCGATTCTCATTTTGTGTTATTTTTCTACCACTATATTCACCATTATGTTATCTAACAAGTTGACCAAAGAAAAACACTCAGCTACAAATGTGAGTCGGGGGAGCCACCACACCGAAAAATTTTACCGTCGGTAAGTTTTTATTTTTTTAACTTTTTTCGGCCAACCGATACCCTCTAAAGTATTTTTTTTACAGGGATGGATATAAAACTGGCCGAAACTAGCCAAAACTGACCGAAAATAGTCAGCCCGAGGCAAACCACTGCTGTTGGCAGAAAGCACGGCAGTGCTGCCACCCACCGGAGCACGACGGTGCCACCGTTGGAGCATTGCGGTGTCGCTATGCCGAATTTTCGAAATTGACCGAAAAAAAATTTTAACACTGATTTTTGAATTTTTTGGATATTTTTATGTACGTAAAACGTGTTTTAACCTCCGCAAGAAAATTTAAAAAACCCATAGATCACCAATAGACGCAGTTGAAAGGTTAGTATTTCAAACACTAATTCGGATAAGAATCTCTCATCTTATTATCTGTTATGGAATTAAACTTTAATTATTAATAATACGGTATTTTGCGTAATTTAAAAAATTTCGAGAATTAATTACAGGTTATTAATGAAGGCAGAACCGGTTATTTATTATTGTTTGTCCTGTTTAACCGATTGTTTGATTTTACAACTTTAAATGCATGATAACATATCGAAATTAGTAAAATATTTTAGTTATTTTTTCTTTGATATATGTATTATTTGTCTTGCGTTGATTTACGGTTAAATTGTGAAACTGAAAATTAAACGTATCAAAATTGGTAAAATAATTTA